ACTGGGACAACAGCCTGCAGGTGGCAGAAGGCCTTATTTATAGGTCTGTGGGCCTGACCCCCATGAGCCCTGTCCCCCACCAAGCAGAAAAAAAAAACTGAAAACACACGTGTACTGAGAAAAACAACATCTTAATGGTGTCATGGTGCACAAGCACCAATGATGAGCGCTACATGCCACACACAGCCATGGAAAGGCACTGGTCCCTGAAGAACAGAAAGACGAGGATCGTGAGGATCAGCACCGACAGAAGATGCTGATCTCAGCCAGTCATAGCCTAGCGCCAGCCTGCTGCCGATCCATCCCCAAAGCTGCAGAAGCTCCTCTTTGCCTTTCACCTTTGTAGCAGACTATCCAGGCAAAGAACAATAATAAAAAGATTCCATCCAGTACAAAAAGACTGTAAGGGAGAGAACAAAAACTAAAGAATGATGAATAATGCTTCTGCAAGCCAGCTATCCTCTGTTTGTTACTGGGGTCTAGGCAAATAACACACAAAAGGTCTCCCAACTAAGCTCAAAGAACCATTAACCAAATAAATACACCACCAGGTGGTGATCAGTTGACAGTTCAGCTCTTCTCTTCACCTGAGTGTCCAAAACATGCAGGTGTAGATCCAACGATACAATTACAAAAAATTAGTCATAGAACTGCGGCCAAGGGTGCTCTGGTGCCAATTGTACTTATAAACACCCTTATGTTCGAACATGGTGTTTGTTATGGACAAACTGTGGTTAGCACAAAAGTCCAATAACTGATCACCACTCGGATTCTGATCAGGCAGGCCATTCCTCCCAATCATACCCTTCATGGTTCCACTGTCATTATTGACGCGAGTGTTAAAGTCCCCCAGCAGAACAATAGAGTCCCCAGAAGGAGCACCTTCCAGAACCCCCTCCAAGGTCTCCAAGAAGGCCAGATACTCTGGACTGGTGCTCGTGTCGTATGGGCAGACAACATTCAGAGCCCTTCCCCTGACTCAAAGACGAAGGGAGGCGACCCTCTTGTCCACACTGGCAAGAAACCGAGGGACTCTAAGCAGATATAGGCGCCTTTCTAGACACTCAAGGACATCGTACAGTGAATGCAAAAGAACAATATAAATAATAAAACCCATAATAATACAAAAAATACAGGAATATAAAACATAGGTTAAATTAGACAAAGCAACTGAATTCACAGAAACAAAGCCAGCTTGAACAGATGGGTTTTAAGTTTCGATTTGAAGAGTGGAAGTGAGTCAATGTTTCTGAGCTCAGATGGCAATGAGTTCCAGAGCCGAGGAGCTGAGCGACTGCCATTACATTTTGAAGACGCTGTACACAGAGGAACACAATAGTGCTCAGAATATATTCTCTCTTGCCTCTGAAAATATACTGTTCTTCCGGCCACTTGTTCTTAAAAAAAAAATAATAATCAGATGCCACTTTAACGTTAGAACCGCCGGAACGTCCTTTAACTTCCAGCAATGATGTACAGACGTGGACAAATTTGTTGGTACCCTCACAGCTCACTGAAAGAATGCTTTATTGTAAGTGATTCACTTAAAAAAAAAACAACTGTCTAATGTATACCTGCATGCCTTTAGTATGTGAGAGTAAACCAATAAAATTGTGAAAAGAAATTGTTGTTTATTTTACAAAGATATGCTAAAACAGTATGGATAGATTTGTTGGTACCCCTAAAGAGACTATTCATCCTTGCATTATAGTTATGTTTCAAACTAAGCGTTTAACCTTAATTAGTATCACAGGTGTCTTCCAGCTTTTCATCAGCCATTCAGCCTATTTAAAGGGAAAGGACATGCTACTGTGTTGTTTGGTATCATTGTGTGCACCACACTGCACATGGACCAGAGACAGCAAAGGAGAGAGCTGTCTGAGGAGCCCAGAAAGAAGATTATGGATAACCATTCTAACGGTAAACCCTATAAGACCATCTCCAGGCAGCTTCATATTCTGTGACCACAGTTGCCAATATTATTAAAAAGTATAAGGTTCATGAGACTGTAGCCTATCTCCCAGGATGTGGACACAAGACAAAATGCAACCCCAGGTTGATCAGAAGGATAGTGCGGATAGTAGAAAAAGAGCCAAGGAAACTATCCAAAACCATTCAAGCTGGGCTCCAAGGTCAAGGTACGTCACTTTCGGATTGCACCATCCATCGCATTTTGAACAATAATGGACTCCATGGAAGAAGACCCAGGAGGGCTCCACTAAACATAAATAGCCAGAGTGGAATTTGCCAAAATGCATGTTGACAAGCCCCAAAGTTTCTGGGAGAATGTCCTTTGGACCGATGAGACAAAACTGGAGCTTTTTGGTCGCCAGTCACATCAGCTCTATGTTTACAGAAGGAAAATGAAAATGAAAAATGAAGCTTTAAAAGAAAAAAACACCATACCTACTGTGAAACACGGAGGGGGCTAGGTTTTGTTTTGGGGGCTACTTTGCTGCATCTGGCACGGGGAACCTTGAATATGAATAGACTACCAAGGCATCCTGGAGTGAAACATACTGCCCAGTGTCAGAAAGCTCAGCCTCAGTCACAGGTCATGGGTCCTCCAACAGGATAATGACCCAAAACATACAGCTTAATGCACTCAAGAATGGGGATGCCACCCTTCAAACCTTCAGCTTGAGCAGTTTGTTCAGGAAGAGTGAGCCAAACTACCTGTTGGCAAATGCAGACATCTCATTGTGAAGTACAGAGATAGCTTGTTGGCAGTGATTGCTGCAAAAGGTAGTGCCACAAAATATTTAAGGGTACCATCATTTTCATTTGTTTTATTATGTAAAATATTCAACTGAATCAATAATCAAAAGCAAAGCATGATTTGTGTTAAATATAGAATAAACAATAAGGGATGCCATTAAACTTTTGTCAGTTTCAAGTTATTTCAGAAATAGCTGTGTTTTTTATTTTTTGTGGAAGGATACCAACAAATTTGCCCACGTCTGTACTTCAGCGTATCACACCTTTGGTCTTTGTTAATGGGCCGTTGCATCAGAATACTGCTCACCCATCAAGAAAACAATGGGACAGTCGGTAATCATCACAGCAGCTCACTGTCACCCCAAAGAAGACGTGCACCCCATTATACAGTCGTAGTTATGTCATATTTTAGTGCTCACTGATTTAAGTACTGCTTTTGATAACCCCACATTGGTAATAAAAGTCTCGTTTTAATACAAATACCAAAAGAACTGATAACTTTAATCACTAGGGTATAGGCTGTCTTAATAGTTCAAAATGATTTGTCAGAGTAACAAAGCAAACAGAATGACAGGCCACTTCAGCCGAAAACAATGCATTTTGCTTTTCATTTCAAATAAAACATGGGGTTGTCAACTTCAGCCAGCTGGCTGGAGTGAGATTTTTCAATTCGAGTCTGCACACATTTACATGCATGTAACAGCTTTCTTACCTTATAAACCGTCTGTAGTGTTTGTACACTAGCCCAATGCTTTTGATGTAGCTAATTTTAGGTTTATAATGGAATAATATAGATTTGCCATACGATTTCTTGCATGAGCGTGAGACTGAAAGTGTGAATGTCACGCTAGTTGTGTGAGAGTTGGCAAAGCCTGAAAACGTACATTTTAAAATAGTTTCACCTGTTTATTTGTATAAAAAAATAACACTACTTTATACAGTTGCTAAAAAGAGAAAACTAACATGTCTATTTATTCAATATTTTTCGCAACACATACTATGTTTAAAAACTCTTCAGCTTTATGATTTCAGGACAGAGCAGCCACTCTATTAGGAACATTACAGCTTTTCTGGCTGAGGGTGTTAGGCTCACTGCTGTTATTAACACTAACGGCACAAACAAAAGGGCTGCACACACCGAAGCATATCTTGCTTGGCAGTTAAGGGAGTTTGACGTTCATTGGGAAATGGCAGTTCTAGTGTTAATAGTGACTGTACCGTATACAAACACATGATGAAAAGTGACCATCCTCCCACCCGAGTATATGTGTATGCATACGTGTTGTGACCATCGAGTATAAATCGGCCCGAAGGCAACATCAAGCCATGTTAGTGGCCATACCACCTGTAGTTCAGACCAGGTAATCCATCTGAAGCCAAGCAGGTTTGGGCCTGGCCAGTACTTGGATGGGAGACCCACTAGGAAAGCTGGGTTACTGCTGGAAGAGATGTTGGTGTGGCCAACAGGTTAGTTGGTCTATCCTGTGGTCTGTGTGGATCCCAATGCAGTGATGTGGACCCTGTACTGTAAAAACAGTACTGTCCTTCAGATGAGATGTAAAACTGAGGTTCTGATGTTACAAAAGATCCCTGGTGGCACCTCAATGTCCTGGCAAAAAAAAGAACTTACCACCATGGCCCTTTCAAATCTGGCCTCCTAATCATCCCCTATACCTAACTTTTGAATTCTGCCCCCCCACCCCCACCCCCTAACCACCTTAGCTACTGTGTGGTTAGTGTACTGGTGCAGAAAGGCTGCCGTCACATCATCCAGGTAGGGGCTACACAGTGGTGGTGGTTGAAGTCGCTCCCCATTGGTTCTGTAAAGCACTATATAAATGTAACATTCATTCACATGTATTTATTTACCTCAACTGAAACCTGAGTTCCAGTTTTCCCCAACTCAATCATTTATATCTAACGTTAGTGAATGCGCTTAACTCAGCTCTCAGCTTGAATGGTCTGGCAAACTTTTCCCAGGAATTGCTCCAGTATCCATGACAGACTCTCATGTCTGTTCAAGCCAACACAGGCTGTTGCCCATGTGGATTATAGGTAACACAGGCCTTCATGTGTGTTCTGATAGGGAATTCAGCTACAGTTTCCTGCATGAGGCATTTCTGTCATTTTGCTCATATCATACTCAAGAACATATGTATTGAATTGCAGCAAGAGCTGAGATTTTAAAATGGCTGCTCTTATGAGAAAAAATATGCCTCCTGAGCAGATGTCTGTGGACATGTTTAAGTTAGGGCACCCCTGGATGGAAGGACAGTTCTTACCTGCTGGATCGGAGCTTTTCACCATCAACTCATAAGTCAAGTCTGTGAGGAAGAGAAGGGTGACAGATAAGAATCTAATTTAGGAATCTGGGTCCCAGAACAGTGAGCATGGCATGGACAGAGCCCTGCCTACTGCAGAACAAAGGCTTACTGTGTCAGGGCGGTAGGCCTGCAGCGGGGGAGGGGCAGGCCTTGCTTTGTCACTGACTGAAAGGAGCAGGAACCCCCCAAGCTGGGCTGCTATTGTCATGTCTCCCGCCCCCAACCCCACCACCTGCATGTCCTGGTTTTTCAGGGTGATATAATTATAGTCATTATTGCTCAGATGCTTAGTAGGACCTCTTTCAAAGCAACTGGCATAGTGTACTTCACCCGAATGTACGGCTGGTTACTGGAGGATTTCCCGTGAAGGGAATTCCTCATGGGCACAATGACGGATCCTGGGACTTGATACCAATCTTTCCAGCCCAATTACATCTAGGAAGTATAAATCCAGAATGCAGCACTGACTAGTACATGATGCAAATGAGTGCCGTGCTACTGCTGGTATCTACGAAGCTCATTGGGCAGTGGGAGTAGCACAGAGCACTATTGAGTGCAGCACCATTGATAGGAGGCAGAAAGGCCCAGGAGGCAGTGCTAATTAGCATGAAGCGCTAAAGGGGGCAGCTCCATTCCTACGAGCTGTAAGGCCCAGAGGACACAGAGGGCGAGCATGTGGGACTAACCAGTGCAGTGCTGCTGCAGCCGGCGTATCTCGGCGTGCAGGCCTTTCAGAGTGTTAGCGTGGTCCTGCTGCAAGAAGAGCAGGTTATTCTGGGCACTCTGCAGCTGGTTCTCCAAGCTGATAGACGCCATAGTGGATCCCGGCTAGCCCCGTAGGCCTAAAAGCAGAAGACAACAGGACAGACAAGCAGAGGAGTATTAGCCATATTGTGCAGTCAAACAGCAGAGGAGGTATCACTTGGTGTTCTATATTGACTGAGGATTAGCCAAATGAAGGCTCCATTGCATTTAGCTAGTTAACAGTTATCATTCAGTACAACTTTCATAACCATCAATTTTAAATATGCTGAAAATCCGCAAGAGCAGCTCATATTAACACCAGGGGCAATGTAGCTAAATCCAGCTGCACTCTTCGTGTACTGCGATGCTGCATCCTCGGATACAAATCGGGGTTTGTGGATTACACATGTATATGTGACATGCTGCAAGATAACCTATGGCATCTTCATAAACGTCTGCAGAACACTGAACAACTCTTGCACCCCAGTTGATTTTTGAGATTACTTTATGGGCGAATTTGAATTAATATTTGCATATACACTTCATGTTCAATAGCAGATGGTGAATGGACACAGTACAATTACTAATAAGTAAAGAAATACATAGTTGGATTAAACTGAATGTAAGTTGCACGTGCAGTTAACAACTATGCTTTTGGAAGTAACTATGTTATCAGACTCTTTAGTATCTTATTTCTCAGCAACTTTTTAAAAACCTTATTGGAAGAAAAAGCCAAACAAGCTATTAATATACATACACAGTAGTCTACAGAGTATAGTCTGGCGTTTTTGTTTCAGTATCGCTCTTGAGATACTTGCATGAGTGCGATTTGATTGGCTGACATTGGGTGACACTTCACAAGGTCCAGAGAGTTGTGGCTGTATGTCCAGCTCCACCCATTTGGCTCTACAGTGAGCACCGCTTGCAACAAACGTAAAGAGTTCTGAATGGACACAAGCCTAGATTAATTTCCAGGTGCAGTAACCTGGAAATTTCAGTTAAACGCATTCACTAACATCCTAACACTGTGCTTACATATAGGCCAAAGCAGTTAGGTTTATTTTTTTATTAATCAATACCCAAAACTGCAGTGTAACAGAATGCAGTAAGTTGCTGACCTCACTAGACATTGAAGTTTACACGTCTGAAGGAAAGTCACAAGAAACTGAATTCCACATGTGACAAATTGACGTCATTGTGTCCTTGTTCAACTGCCCTGTGTGCCTTTAATTGCCCCTTGGGGACAAATAAAGTTATTTTGAATTTGAATTGAAATTAAGATAACATTTCCAAACTACTATCTTTGACAAGAGGAGCATTAGGAATCATCAAGGGTCAAAGCCTGAAATGGTCATGTCTGAATGTTGGGGGGGAGGCTTGTCACTAGCTGTTCCTACAGTACAGGTCCTGCTGAACAAAGCAGTTCTGGTAAGTGCTGGCACATAGCACTTAGACAGCTGACAGCCCTTCTGTTACTGTGAACCGGTGCACAACAAACACAACCAAGGCAATTATGGCACGTGACCTGTCACTGCAGATCAACAACAAGGCAAGGGTCAGGAAATGCCAAATATTAGGATAAGGTACACACAGTGGTACAGTTAAAGGCATTTTACTATTATAGCGGCTTTACACTTAGTTGTAGGTGAATGTGTAATTGAGATTATGCTGTTAAGAGTATTTGTGTGTACAATGTGTGTCCAGACCCACTGTTAGTCTGTGCTAATAAGCGACTGAAACATGGATGGAAGTGTTGGCCTTTATATGCTCTCCATGCAACCACTATATACACAACAATAACAAATAAAACTTTCTTGCTGTCCCTCCCAGAAATAATGCTGTGGGGGCACCCAGAACACAAACTGCTACAGAAACAGAAAGGTCACAGAATACAAGCTTACTGAGCACCAGGGCTGGGCGATATGATAATATTACTGATGATATCGGGCAAGGAGCCTGTTGTTGATATGTGACACCGACTAACCAGCGATTATAGTCTTTGGTCGGGGATGTAGGCTTAGGTTACACACACAGCTAGACAGACTTATCATTAGGCTTTTTATTAATTTTTATTAAAGCTCTAAACATGAACACAGTGTCTGTTGATGTGTCTGAATAAAACCTAAGAGATGCTAATATGCACATTGTAAAAATACAAATGTAATACAAATCAAAATTCAAAAATAAGACTGCATCATAATATAAGGGACTACATTCTGTGTTCTTGGGCATATTCCAGAAAGAGTGTGAAACAATGGCAACATAATTATTGGGTTCTAAAAATGCTGATTACGACTTTGTAGACTGAGTTCATTCAAGTCTGGTCTCATGGAACAAAAAGTCATCATAAGCGGAAAGCGGATAAAAAGGCGAAAAAGAGTACTGCTCCGTGCTTTTTACAGCTGGAAATGGAAATGGTCACGTCAGCGTATGCCAAGTATGAATTTATTGTGAAGAAACACCCAATCACACATGCTGTTAATATAGATATGGTTAGCTGTTTGTTTATTACAACAAAAACCAATTGCATTCAATAATGGTGCAAATTTTTTATTTTAATGGAAAAAGCAATGCTAAAAAAAAAATCAAAAATTGTTCTGTTTCCAGCAGTAATGGAAACATAAACAAATGTTACAGATACAACACATTTAAGACTTGCAAATTTGGAAAATATCATCATAAATAAGAGAATGTGAACAGAAAGAGAGAGAAAATGGCTCCCTCTAGCTTTCTGTACACCCATGCGCCACGATCAATGTAGGTGTCACCTTTAACATCATTTTCTGACAAAAAAAACAGAATATAATATAGGGGTGTCACTGCCCACAACATTGCACTAAAAGGGAAAAAATACTTGTCTGACTACCGACTTTGTTCTGCCTTAGCTCAGCAACCTATTTTGTTTGCAACTCTGGTCTATGCTTGTCAGTACAATTCATCTAGGTGACTACATAGCATTCACCAAGTCACCCTAAAATGTCTGCCCAATGCTATAAATGTAAGTGGTGTATGGTTTACACCGTTACTAGCTAGTTAAATCACTTACCGATGGCAAGGTGCAGTCTCTCCCTAAAACACTCCTTTTGGGAAGTAGGACATCTGTAAACACCAAGCCTTTAATTCGAAGTCACACTTGAGGAAATGAATCGTCAGTCTCACATATTGCTCCATTGTCCTGCTTCACCACAGATTGGTCGTGCACACAGAAAAATCCACTTCTTTCAGTTCTTCCAGCAACCGTTAGCAGCACAGTTCCTACAACTCTGGCATGGCAATTTGGAAGAAATGTGTACACGGTGAAATCTGGTCTTTTATCAAGTTTGTTAGGTACATGTAACCTTTTTTGGATGCCATTTATAGGCACTATGCCTTTAGTTAGGTAGTGCATAATGGCCTGCAGTATTTCTTTTTGATGCTGGGATCTGGACTCACATGATAATACACATGTAAAACTCTGGGCAATCGATTGCTGCTTTAGAGATCAGATTTTGCCTTCTGTCTTCGTGCTGCTCCTTATGCTTTTGTTTCAAACAGTGAGACAGGTTTCCGGTGTTTCTTCTCAAAGAAGCCACCTCTGCTCCTAATCTGCAAAATACCCTAGTCTGTAAATGGTCTTCTTCTTTAAAGCTGAACTACTATCACATGACAGATGTGCTGGCTTATTTGGGGACCAAATCTTCCGCACCAGCATTTATGGCCTCAGGCATATCCATGATGTCACTGCTTATAAACAAGTAGACACTGCTGTCATTGCCCCCCTTACGCATATGACATGATGCACGTGCATGTTCTCAGAGTGCCAGCAGTGTGAAAGGGACTTTTAGTGACTTGCTTAATTACTTTTACTGGAGCTGTCTCAATATGTTTGTTGTCCAAATGACTTACACCGAATGATAAAAATGCAATTAATCGTTCAGCATTAATTTTTTTTAATAGCTACCTATGAACCCTGTGGTGTATATATGGGAATATATCCAATTTGGACCAAAATAATTTTGCAGCCAGATACAATGAAATATAAAAACATAAATTTAAAATGGTAGGAATATGACACCATATTTATAATTAATCCTAACATTTGTCTAACTAGACTTTTGTTAATGGTTAACATTAATTGCGGATGGATGGAATGGGGGGGGGGGGGTAGGTGACGGCTTTGGAGATGTTTGTCCCCCAGTATATATTATATTTTTGTTCAGATTTTCTCTGATAGTGCAGAGTACATCAGATACCTTAAAGCACATATTAAAGGAAGAAGATGAGGAGCTGTATCAGACTATTCAGTAATGGGACATACAGGGAGGACTGCAGAGACTGCAGAATGCATGCATGAGTTTCTTGCATGTAAACCTATCTGATTATCTGCACTTACTTATTGTCCTCTAACAGAGTTTGGCTACCCCTTCTGAAGACAATGAGGGTTCATCCACCTTCACAACACGGCTTAGCACAGTATGAAGTTACTAATAATGTCTACTGTAGGTACTGAGAATGTAAACAGACATGTGGATATACAGTAAACGTAAACCGATTGCCAAAAGAATATGGAAATTCACCAGCCAGGCAGCTGAGGTAAGCCTTTCAGTGATGTCATTATTTCATCCCCATGAGGTCAATTGTCAGCATGAATACGGGAATTTGGAATAAGTGGGTTGAGCAGCACTAATGTCTTCTAGCCCCGCAACCTCCCCCTCCAGGGCTGGGTTTAATGTTCAGTCAGGAAAGGGCATCATTTGAAGTCAGCATCCATTAATCAAATATCCTTTGTCCCCCGTAACCCATTATATGATCCTGTGAAAAACAGAGGCCATTCCACTGAGAAAGTGAAAAATTCACTCGCTCTTACTATAGTTAACCCTTGGCCCTTGTCGAAACAACATTTGGCCTCAACCATCCATTTTATATAGCTATTGGCCTATGCAAGGTCACGGGGGTCTGGAGCCTATCCAGAAAGCTACAGGCACAAGGCCAGGAACTACCTGTGCGACCCCATCGCGGGGCGGGCAGGCGGATGCGCGCGACCCCATCGCGGGGCGGGCAGGCGGATGCGCGCGACCCCATCGCGGGGCGGGCAGGCG